ACCGAGAGTTGGTGTGACGAAACAATTGAAGAGTGGGTGAATCATAAACTACTCATTATTATCAATGCGCGAACCTTGTAATTTTTTTGACGTTCGTAGAAAATAGTAGTTTGTTTCATTAGGATCAAAAGTGACACTTTGTTTGACAAGCGAATTTTGCATTTGCGAGGCGGAGCGTCTAGCGATGCCGAGCGAAAGCAAAATTTGCTAGTCAAACAAAGTCACTTCTGATCCGAATGAAACATGCTATTTTTTACCTGCATTAAGAGATCAGGTTTATTCAATTTTCAAGAATGTTCGAATAATATAAATACAACCACAGAGTGATCCATATGTGTATGGACTAGTTGTCAGCCCTAATAGCAAATACCGCGCCAGTGGCAGGTATAGGAAAAAGACGTGGAACATGTTAGGTTAGTGAGCATATCAACAATAATAATAGCGATTATTTATTCATCTTCATACTCAACTGTGTTTGGCTCGGTAATCTAACGAAGATAAACAATATCGTTGTGTGAGACAAAAAACTATTGCTGGCAGTGATTATTCAAAAACAAGTTGTTTTCCAATAATTATAACAGTTTTTTTCCAAATGTCCCTTATTGTTGAAGTCCCTAATCCTTACTTAAGGGCTAGAGATTATCCACTAACTCCGCGTTTTAGCTAGTCCTGAAATAAGCTTGCCAAACTTCACCTGCAGCTACTACGACCACAAATAGGAAGAAAAGTTTCAATGAACATGAGTCGATAAATGTCTCCTAAGGGAGCTACGGCCCCCTGAGAGGGGACTCCTGAAGATGATATTTCTTGAATATTTTCGAAACGCCATGTGATAATATGATGCGTATCGGTACAAGAACTAAACTTTCCGTGCCCAATGCAATGAAAATGAAATCATTCCAAAATTTCATTCAGGAGTATATAATACAGGGTGGGACTACATTAAATATTGCATATTTTTCGACAATTTATTCTTGTATTTCGAAAATCCACACCGTTTTACAGAAAAAAGGTGCTCTTGTTTCGTATCGATCAGATGTATCATTTTCGAGTGGAATCGATTTAAAAATATTGTTACACTCACATCTAATGCATAACGTTGCCAATTTTCAAATCATAGCGGCTATAAAAAAATCAACTACTTCATTTTCACCAAACAATTTTATAGCAGCGCGTAAAATAGGAGAATGATGAACTACTTGAAATTTTGTGCATTTTTTTTTTCATATCTATTACGATTTGTTTGCAATGTAATGCATAATGTCTGAGATGAAACAATATTCTCAAATCGATTTTACTCCCATTATGTTTTATTCAACGACAGAACTCTTAACATATTTTGATAACTTGATTGTAACTGGTGACTTGACAATCTTGCTTCATGAGTGGAAATGGAAGATTTTCTAACCAATAACGAAACAGCATAATGACGTCACCATTTATTCGACGTATCGCCAAATGGCGGCTATGAAGGTTCATTTGAAATGAGCTCTGAAATTTTCTGAAATTTCGAACAACGCAAAGACTCATTATTTACATAAAAAAAGTGAGCAGTGTTGCAAAAATTAATTTAGGTTCCTAACGACACAGTGGTGTAAATGAGATGGTAGATCGTATTGCATACTACATGTAGAGCGGGAAACATTTTGATATTTATTAACAAATAAAAAAATACAGAGGTGGCTGCTCAAAAGAAGACTCCCTGTATATTAGTTTTTCCAGTACTATAAAACACAATATTTTGTATGCTACTGGTCAATAACACTTCTAGTTGAAAAACATTTTATTTTAGGAAATATGTGCATTTCAATGTATTTGTAGCAAGGATAAATTAGATGGTTTGTTCTAAAATCGTACATCGTATACACTATTTACACATATAATTAGCTTTAATTTCATCTCAATTTATGAATCTGGTCCACTCTACTCGTTTTTTTCCATATAATAAAAGATACTAACTACAAAACAAATAAGAATGCTGTATGCTCTATATGTACCTAAATTGAAAAAGATTAGATTACGTATACGCTTCCTAATTCTTTAATTTTATTTGATATGCGGGTTGATAGAGTAGACCCTGGTTGGTACCTATCAATTGAATCAGTTCGTGCCTGATTTACAGTCGATTACGAGGTCAAATTATAATTTTTTGCTCAAGGTTTTTCCTGGAATTCAGCAGGCTTTGAAAAGTATCAAAATGAAAAAAAAAATGTTCGGCAACCGTCCGGAAATTACTCACTTCCCGGACACTTTTTCTTTGATAAAGTAGCATTTTCCGGCCTAGTCCGGGAAGTCTCATATCGTTGTTGTCACTGTAAATATGACAATCTTGGTAGATATGGTTATGATAAATGCAAATGATAATTACCATTGCAGCGAAATATCGGCTGACAGCTATTTAACATGAAATTAGTTGAAATTTTGATTGTTGAGAGTTTAGTTGCAATTATCTCAATAAACTATCGAAAGCAGCTGCGATAGTAAGTTTGAAAATGTCCATACGAAATTTCCAATGTAACAGTTAGTGGGTATACGTATTCTGTTCAGATTTCAGTATATGATACAAATGAGAATTAATAAAGAAGAAAATGTATTCTACAAAGAAATATAATATTTTAGTGTGTCTCATTGATTAGTTATTCTACTGGGTTGCCGAAAAAATAGTGTACGAAACACGTCCAAAAACAGTTTTTTTGGACTCGCAGACTTCCAGGACTCGCCTAGGGCTCGGCCTAGAATTTTGTCCACTCGTCCAAGAAACAGTATTTTCCGGACTTGTTACGTAAATTACTATTTTCTACAAACGTCAAAAAATGACAAGGTTCGCGCATTGATAACAAATTGCGAAGTGTCACTTTTTTTTCGCAAAGTGTCACTTTTTTCAGTTTCCTTCGTTACCACGACACCATGTGCGAAGCACAGGAAAGTAGTTGTTTTCTGTTGAATATTCAGAATGATATTATGTGCATATTTTTATATAAAGGAGAATGCAAATTCTCTACTTCAGAAGATTTTGTTTTCAAATTCTTATCGTGTGTGTTCAATAGATATAATTCAATGTTCGACCTGGCATAAAGCCAGGAAAGTAGTTGTTTTCTGTTGTATAAACCGATACAGAATTAATATTTTCATCACACGGAGAATGCGAATTATCAATGTATATCTTTATATATACAGGGTGTCCCTAGACCAGTGGGACAGTTGAATATCTCCTGAACCAATAGGAATTTTCAAAAAATTATAATTTCACATCATATCGCATTATGAGTGCTAACTTCAGGAATGACTATATTTTATACGAGGGGCGCAAGAAAGGCTCACAAAATCGAACATCAATTTTTTTCAAATGGAACACCCTGTATTTCATTGCATTTTCATATTCTCCTTGATGAGCTGAATTCACCGACCCAGCACACTTGGGGTCTAGCGGGAATGATTTCCGAGATATAGGGTGTGAAAAATCGAGATTTTTCATTTTTGGGAATTTTTAGTATCGAAACTATTCATTATTGGTCAAAACGGCTTATATGTCTATATCTCAACTTCTGATTTACTATTAACTCGTATTTAATTGAAACAAATACAGGGTGGTGTAGAATTCTGACTGAAACTGATAATTCTACATTACCCTGTATTTGTTCCAATTAAATACGAGTAAATAGTAAATCAAAAGTTGAGACATGGACATGTAAGCCGTTTTGACCAATAATGAATAGTTTCGACACAAAAAATTCCCAAAAATGAAAAATCTTGATTTTCCACACCCTATATCTCGGAAATCATTCCCGCTAGACCCCAAGTGTACTAGGTCGTTGAACTCAGGTCTTCAAGGAGAATATGAAAATGCTATGAAATACAGGGTGTTCCATTTGAAAAAATTGATGTTCGATTTTGTGAGCCTTTCTTGCGCCCCTCGTATAAAATATAGTCATTCCTGAAGTTAGCACTCATAATGCGATATGATGTGAAATCATAATATTTCGAAAATTTCCTATTGGTTCAGAAAATATTTAACTGTCCCACTGGTCTAGGGACACCCTGTAAGGTGTTTTTGAAATAAGTACATATAATCAGCACATCGATATAATACAGTCTAACGAATATTCCCATGATATCAAATTTTTCCTAACTCTTTTAATTAACAAGAAATTTCATCCCGAAAATTGAACAAAAAACGAGAAAAAATCAAGTACGCCACGTCAAAACAATTTAAATGATTGAAATCCGCGTGATTGTGCCTTCCGCACGAAAATTTGAACAGAGGTGACGTCATAGTTGCTACAGTGTCGAACTTTGGGTGGAAAAAGGGGTCTAACCTCAAATTTGCCACTCGATAGTATACGTCGAGCTTACCCAAGGCTTGAAATATTTGCACTTATTTCAATGCCACCCTGTATATACAGGGTGGGCCACCAGTAACGCCTCGGTCTCTAGAAGGCTAACCACTTATCTTCTTGGAATTCTTCCTCTCTAGGAAGTTGCATGTCAACATAGGCTACCATTTAAAATTATTTCGAAACATACATGGTGTCCCCAAAAACCATAAAACACTGAAGTTAAACTTTTTTCTATCGAACACCCTATATATTATTTCATTTTGAGATTCTCCCTGATGAGCTGATTTCAACGACCCATCATACTTGGGGTCTAGCAGTTATAATTACTGAAACATAGGGTGTGAAAAATCGAGATTTTGCAAGTTCAAGAATTTTTTGTGTCGAAACTATTCATAATTGGTCAAAACGGCTTACATGTCCCTATCTCAACTTCTGATTAACTATCTACTGATATTTAATTGGGGCATATACCGGGTGATCAAGATTCTGAATTCTGCACCACCCTGTATATTTGTTTCAATTTGGAACGATGGAAACTTGTTATTTTTATAGACCTCAATCGCAGATTCGTGATTAGGTTTTCTCAATTCAGAATTTTCCACGTCCTGTATGATGAAAATCAATTTATCATACATCCAAAAACTCTTTTTTTTTTCATTTCAGAGCTCTCAAAACCGCCTGCTCATCAAGAATGGCAAAGTGGTGACAGAAGATGACGTCTTCGACGAAGATGTGTATATTGAGGACGGTATTATCAAGCAGATGGGCAGGTAGATAAATTATTCGGTATTTTATTTATTGGTAGTTTAGTTTAGATACACGCTTGCTCATATTCCGCCCTGACTAATAGAATTTATGTCTAGACATCGGGGCGCCATTCTTTTTTCAAACGTAAATTATCAAGTGAACTCGTGGCACAGTGAGCCAAGTGTCTGAATGCCATGCTAATATATTTTCTACGAAGAAGGTTCATTTACGCCGAGTAAGGTTGGATTGTTTAGAAAAAGTTGTCTCTTTTGTTCTCTCAAGTAATTTTTCGAAACATATATTTCTTAGGACGAAGGTTCATTTAGGCCTAGTTGAGGTTGATCATGGACGTATAAACAAAGATGGACTGGGCATCCTCTATTCTGTATTCACATAATCTTGAAGCCAAGTAGCTTCCAGGCGAGGTCATGGTCTGTGATAATTCCCGTTCCGCCAGTGGTACCTTCCGATACTTGAAAAATATTCGAGATATTGGTTCGCTTAATTTCCCTCATCAAGGTTTAGAAATGTTGACAATTCATTTCTGTTTTTTTTCTGGCGTTATTTGTTGAAGAATATCAAAATTGAGAGCACATTCACATTGTCACCTTCTCCCTTCTATACGATGACATTTTCACTATCCGACGTTTCCTCTTTACGCCAACATCATTAACTTCATTTTTTCTCATCGACGCCATATTGGATTTTCATTAATACTGGTGAATCTGAAAATGTGCTCTCAACTTCGATATTCTCCAAAACCGAACGCCCGAAAAATATTGAAATGATTCACCAAAATTTTTGTTTTTTTCGTATACCTCCGGAAATACTCGGATTTAGAAACTCGGTAATCTATCTCTTCAGTTTCCGCCGATCAGTTGGCCCCCTCGGTCTCCAGACCTTACTGCCTGTGATTTTTTTTTAGAATCCCTAAAAACGAAGGTGTTTTAAACTATTCCACCTTCGTTTCTAAGTATTCTCAAAAAAATAAATGGCAGGCATTAAGGCAAGGAGACCGAGGGGGCCAACTGACACTACATTTTGATAGCAGCCTTCAACTGCGTAGCCGCGTTGTTCATTGTAAATAAATGGTAAGCCATGCGTGTCCTGACAGGCCGGTGACATGTCAAATTGGCAAACTGACAGACTGCACTTTGCTATCCATAGGGACATAGTTGAAAAACACCAAAGCTCTCTCAGCTAGTGTTTTCGCGATAATACAAGTTGTCTTTGGCTTGGGATTGGTCAGATTATGTGAGAATCTTAAGATGAGTGGAATAGTCAGATGCATGCTCCGAATATGATTATCGTGAATTTTCGCACAGGAACCTCATCATTCCCGGAGGAACGCGCGTCATCGACGCCAGAGGGAACTACCTGTTGCCGGGCGGGATCGACCCGCACACCCACTTCGACTTCGAGTTCATGGGGACGCGGTCGGTGGACGATTTTTACACGGGAACGAAGTCCGCCATCGCTGGAGGCACCACCATGATCAGTGAGTAAAGACCAACAGAAGTTTCACTCTACAGGTTGTAACATTAGTACGTTGAAAACATTCAAATGACGTATTCCTGAGACTGTTTTAAGAAAACAGTCTATATAAACTTGTTTCCTGAAGTGCTTCATAAGGCAAGTTTGTCTTGCTTAGAGTCACTAGATATTAGTTGTATAAGAGTTCGGACACAGCTGAACTGTCTTCCTTTTAGATTTTCTATATTACAATGGTTTGAATAAATAAAAGAATAAGGCATCTATTCTGCTGAAAAGAATCATAATACTGTTATGAACGAAACTGGCGAGCTCATAACGAGGAAAAAATTGAAGATGATAACAAATTAAGTTTTGTGTATCGCTAATTCAAAGTTGGGAACCAACTTCCCAGAAGTCGAAACTTGTGCGGGGTTAGGAAGAGCTTATAGTGGAATCCGAACCACTTCTAGGGCATCGGGGTGCTGCCAGGATTAAAACCATGAATCACACATTTTAAAGAAAAATGTTCAGCCGATAGCCGGATTCGAACCGACAGTACGTTCGCATCGTGAACGGTTATCTAGCGAATGTCAGCGCATAGACAAACTCGGCCACGGTGTCCCTTAAATGGAGTGAGTATCTACCTTAAAATTTCCTTGGCGATGCTGTCTCATATATATTTATTCATTTTAACTTGCGAGGATTGTAGCCCAAGAATGCCTATTTGTTAGGATGAACAAGGAAGTGATGAGAAAAAATTGGTTGCAAGATCCTTCAGAATGTGATGTTGTTGATGGAGACATTGGACCGCGTGCCGACGGCGATGTGTTTTGACTTAACCAGTGAATGTTTACAATATATTTGGTTGCAGATACATCTACCTATCCTCAGAGTATCTATCTGATACTTTCTGTATTTCAAATATACCACGCTGTAACCATTCGAAATTTCTTCAATAGATGTCTTTAGGTATCCTTTATAATTTATTAAGTTTATATCATTCTACATTGCTGCATGGCTACATTTTACAGGTTCTTCGAGAGTATCAGGTTGCATTCGAGAATGCATCTGAAACTGGTGACCTATCATAGCTGGTACCGTTAATCATCATCATCGTCCTCGTACAATACTTCTCTGGCGAAATGGACGGCAGAAATAACAATATTATCAATATTCATTTTAGATTTCAGCAGGTTAAGGGGGTACTAAGGCAGATATCTGTCAGAGTTATATTTACCACTAAATGCCTTTCACACTAGGTATTGAAGACTTTAGTGTTTCCATAGAAGCGAGCATCCACCTTTAAGCGAGCATATTCGAGATATTACTTGATATAATTTATTGTTTTGAAGTTGTCAATCAATTATTCCTGAAATAAAAAAGTATTCGCACCTCGTCGTTCAATAATACCAATCTAAGTACCCACGAACTTTTTAACATAACATTCAATGTGATACCACCGAACTTACCTAGATTTATAATACTGCTCATCTGCTTTTCAGTGTCGTGTAAAATGCACTACACTCTTATGGCATTCACGTGTATTCATCTGTCTTAGTTCTTGGTTGCTAATATAATTCTTAATTTAGTTGAGTTTATACATTCACAATCAGAATGTGATGTCTTTTCCGCAGGATAAATAACAAAAATAAATCATTCTTCTCAACTAGTTACTCCGAGAATGAAACCGTGTTTGTTCCAGTCGACTTCGTGTTCCCCAATGAGGGCGAATCCCTATTGGACTCCTTCTACCCGACGCAAGGCCGACAATTATCTTCATTATTATTATTATAAATCATGGCAAGATCAATAACAATCGATCAATGCTCTGTTCCACTTAGAGTACTTAGACCCATCAATAGACCGCGACAAACTTGCAGATCCACCTTTGAAATCGGTCGTTGTGGGCATCTTGTAGCTTCTATCAATGTCTAAGACGATGTAGTTTTCCAATTCAAGAGGGTTCTAGTGGAACGCACCCTATGACGATGAAAAAGTATTCGCCAACAATCTACAACGAAATCGGAATGTCTTTCAATGTGTATGTGCATTGATAAATTAACTCTCACTTATTGTAAGATGATAATACAGCATTGTAAGGTCTAAGTCAAGTTATTTTGTTTATTATTATGCCATAACATAAACACGCTTTTCATAAACAAAGCAAGCCCTCAAACAACACATTCACTGTCCCAAATATCTAGGTACCTGTGAAATATCAGGTTAGGATATTTGTAACCAACTTTTCTGTATATATTTTTCAGGGCCGAACCATATTTATTCATAAATTAATCTGCTTCATATTCAAAATCCTAAGTGAGTGACTAAAACAACCAAAAACCGATCACACAACAACCGGAAAACCATTGATAACAACAAAAACAGCAATTGATATTTCTTACAATGATTATTGCTTGTCTACTATGAAACTTTGCGGTGCCGCCACGTTCATCTTTCAATAATTCATATTTTTTATCGTGTTACAATAATAAGTTTGATTATTAGTGGTGAATTTATAACGATTATGTCGTTATGAGTGAAGAAATATGTTTTGAAGGTTGTTCAATTTGAACTATTTGACTATTTTTTAGGAGGTAGAGTTTCTTAATGTATTCGACACTGGTGCTTTTGTTTTGACATTTTTGTATCTTTATAGCCATTCCCATCAGGAAAACTAGTGCGTACTGAGTGCATATATTGCGTCCAATTGGTAAAACCTGTTGTGTCTTCTGTGTCCCATTGAAAAACTGGTGCATTTGGTGTTGCACGGGCTCTAGGAGGGCTTGCGAGTCGAGTGCAATGTTAATGCATCAGTCAAATTGACCGGTCAATTTGGTGGCGGTGCTATAGAAGGTCCTTCACAGAGAAAATAAACCAAATTAATTACACTTTTCAACTTGTTTCTCTGAGGATGAAACCGTGTTTGGTTTGTTCCAGTCGACTTCGTGTTCCCCAAGGAGGGCGAATCCCTATTGGACGCCTTCTACGAGTACCGACGCAAGGCCGACGGCAAAGTGTGCTGCGACTACTCGTTGCACGTGTGTCTGCCCACGTGGTCGGCACACGTGCAGCGGGACATGGAGACGCTCTGCAAGGAGCACGGCGTCAACTCGTTCAAGATGTTCATGGCGTACGATTTCATGTTGGATGACGGGCAGCTGTACAGCGCCTTCGAGCAGTGCCAGAAGGTGAGATATATTGACCTTTTTTTTTTTCATTATACTTTATTGCAGGGTTGGCACGAATTAATTCATATGAATTAAGTCAGTGGTTTCATTCGTGAATTAATTCAAATGACTTTTTTCAAATAAGTCGTGAATTAATTCAAAATTTATCAAATGGGAACAAATCGCATTGTTACCTTCAATTCAAACTAGTTTGAAATGAAATATCCGATGGCATCTGACAACTGACAACCGTGATGCACCACACGCGGAAAACAAAATTTTCTGAGAGCCGCTTTACAGTTTACAATATTTCATTGCATGCAATTGATTGCTCCAATTCATATTTCCGGCAAAAATAATATGTAGGCTTTTCAACACTGAATCGGAATTACCGGCTTGCAATTTCTTTTTTTCATAGATTCTGTGTATTACTTCTCACCAAGTTTTCAGTTGGGTCAAGAGTTGGGTAGAAGAAACCATGAGAAAGGCAAGAAAAGTAAGATCCAATGTAATGAGCTTATATCACAAAAAAATTTTATTTTATAATTCGATAGAACTCACCCAAACTAGCTCACCACCGCAAACCGTTTCTTGCTGTGAGCTCCTTATGTTTTATAAAAAAATATTGAAATCCCCGATTTTTCGTACCTCTGAAAACGAGGCGATGATGTGACGTCAAAACCATAATACTGAAACAAGACTATTCCAGACAGAGATGAATGATACATGATAGTGAATTAGCGCGAGATCACAGTTGAAAGAATTAATATATCAGTTGCCTCAGTCTCCGTCGGGCGTTTGGTATTTTCTATTAACTATGGCGAGATGAGGTTGCTACGTCATAAGAGGGTCCGTTTTCAGAAGTTACTATTATTTATGTCCAAAAATAAAACATTCCAGTTAATTTTTCAATCGAATTATGTCGTCAATCATTTTTTATGTATAAAAGGATCATTATAAACATGGTTTGAGTTGAAAGTTCTACTAAGGTGTACAGGCCCATTGCACCAGTAATACAAATTACCGCAATATAAATAAATGTGTCCGGACTCATTTCTTGCAATGCATCGAAAAATTGCTTTCCAAGGTGACACCAATCCGTAGGCACGCCATGGATATTGCTGCATTTTATTGAAAATAACTGTAAGGCGCCTCTATAATGAAGATTGTGAATGAGTAATATAATTTGCATAAACATAATTTTTCATTCAATCAATAGTCCCAGTTTATATTGCAAAAATTGCATATTTTAAGTATTTTATTGTCACGCTTTGAGATTTTTAACGGAAATAAAAACTTAGTTTTTTCGATGTTCTTGTATTTTGTTCAAGTAAATAGAATTTGATTTGTTCTCAAATGAATTAATTCAAAAAAGTCCGAATTAATTCAAAAAGTCAGACTTTTATGACTTTTTTATAAAACTCATGACTTATTCCAACCCTGTATTGGAACTTATTCCAAGACAATCGCACTATGTCTTTCCGCCAAATTGATAATACAATGGGGAAGTTTCCTATATTGAGGTTTTAATCTCACTGTGAAGTTTGTGAAAAATTAATATACAGGGTTTCATAGAAAAAAGATGAGAAAAAAGTTCCTATAAACATGGCTCTGCTAGGCCTTCGGTTGGGTTTAAAGATAGGGGGTGTTGAATTTAATGTTTTTTTTTTTGGGTTTTCTTCGGATATCTTTAGCCAGAGACGCAAATGTGGCATACATGCTAAATTCAAATATGATCTCAGTTTTGTGATGACTGATAGAGGGCGCTACATACAGGGTTCCATCCCTATTGAATCGGTCGTAACTTTTTGGCTATACATTGTATGTCATTTTCGACGAAAAAAATTTGTTATCTCTTCTTTTGTACTTAAGAAAGGTATACCTTTTCCAAGTCGCTAGAAGCAATGGTTCCAGTACGTAAAAGCCGACAATGCACGCAAATTATTCAAAAAGCGTCGAAGTAACTTTTGCAAAAAGAATGATAAATACTTCAACAATTACATTTTAATGGTGTGATGAAAAATATGTTTAATTAGAACAAAAGAATAAGTTTTTATAAGAAGTTCAAATTGTTGCCCTTGTATTTCAATACATTTTTCCATTAAAATTCAACACCCCGTATCTTTTAACCGAAAGCTTTGCGGACCCATGTTCATAGGAACTTTTTTCCTTCTTTTAGTGTCCTCTATTGTGTGGCACTATGCAATGTACTTTTTTCTATGTCACCCTGTATACGTTTTTTTCTTTTTTTCGTAAGTACAAACACTTCAGAAGAAAATTAATAAAAGAGGAACTTGGCTCCTCCACCATTCCAATGACTTACTTTCTGAAAATCCACATTCACACAGAGTTAAAATGCGATTCCCTGTGCCAGTACGACGTTGCCGACTTCATCAATACGTCTAGATTTCCGGACATTGTTCTTTGAATGCATAATAACTTAAATATAACAGCAATGGGATATAATAGGTTGTTGAATCCTACTTTGTCAAGTATTATGAATAATTCGTATAAATCTCTCATTGGCTGAATGAAATTGATTACTAATGAAGATAAATTATGATATTTTGCGATAGTATCTATAATTTTTCACTATCGTTATGTTACAATATGTTATTCATAACTTGTCAGTCATTTTTTTGCTAATAAATTCGTTCCTTAATAAAACCGATCTATTGTCTAGGAAAATTGCAGATTATATCTTGCAACAGCGCCTAATCCTTCGAGTCCGTCCACACCACTCAAAATACTGACAGGCACAACAAGAGGAAGGAGCGATGGGTGTCGGCTTCATTTTGTTCTGACCTGTCAGTAAATGAGGAAGGATAGTATCATTGAATGTAGCCGATAGTGATTCATTGAATCAATGACATTTTCGTTCAGGATCGAGATATTTCAAGACATTAATAACAAAACCATAACCTGTCAGAATGGAGCCTTCTGTATAACTGCTTCGAGTGCATTTGTGGTTATATATGTTTCTATTTTTTCATTCGTTACCTATTCTATATTCTTCACCATCAGCTATTTTTAGACTAGATTCAGAATGTACGCCACAGTTTGCCGCCCCTAAAATTAGAAATTGCTTTAATTTGAAAATAAAAACGAGTTGGACTTTATCGGTCGCCATTCTGTACAGCGTGGACATAAAATTGGAGAGATCCGAACTCATTTTATGAAAATTCATCTGAAGGAAACTTCCCCATTCAATTGTATTATCATTCTGGTTTTATATAGTGAGAACGTAAGTCGTGAGGTGTTGGATAGAAATCAAAAGCCCTTCAAAACAAGGTACCACATGACCGCTCTTTACATTTGAAAAAAAAGTCGATGGTGCCCACTTACTAGATCACGTGACCACAACCATTTTCATGACAAATAGTAGTAAAAGGAAAAGCTCCTCGCTAGCTTGTTCCGTTCAAAAGTTGAAGGGGAGAAGGACCTTTTACGTTCTCGCTATATAAAGGAAATACAAGAAATAGTGAATAAAGTTGGTAAGAATAAAAGAAATCATCTATACTAATAATATAAAGGGAAATATTAGATTGTTTGCGGCTCCCAGTATGTAAACCTATTTTATTTTCTCAATCCAAAACCGTTTGTCTAACGAAAAAGAGTCAAGAGGTTCTTTTTGTTAGCAACTAATAAGAGATTACAAAACTGATTTTATTTTGATAAAAAACAGTGGCGTGCCATTCTTCAATGTGATAAAATTATATTTTGGTCAATATCAACGGTTAAAAAAAAGGAGATGATAAATTATTTTCATTAGATTATAGAGAAATGTATCCTCTTTCAAAACATAAAAATTGATATACCATTACATTTGTTTTTCTTGAAAAAAAGTAAAAAATTCAAAACCAAATAAGCGTTCTGTAGGGCGAATTATGCTCTTTCATATGAGCCTAAGTTTGCTAAAATCGGTCGAAATAAACGGGAGAAATCTTGGTTTGTTTAAAAAAACAATTGAACTTTCCCCGGTGCTTTATTTTGATAGATAGCACGAAACGTTATAGACAAAAAATGTAGGGAAATGGTCAGTGAATATGAAAATGATATCATCGATATACTTTCATAAGACAAAATTCTATAAAAATCCCATTTTTCTACTTGGTGTTGGTTGTTACGCCCTCTACCGGACCTTTGACAATCTCGAAAATAATTTCCAGCAATTTCTCTTGGCGACTTTTATCATGATTTTTTTTCTCAAATCTATACGACCAATATCTTATGAGATATGATAATGATAGTGATAATTTATTTTATATAAAATTACAAGAATTTTACACTAGTCACAGATACACTTTACAATCTAAACTACAGGCACTACAATAATATAAAATAAAAAAAGTAAAGTAAAACATGACACACGAGAATAAATCCATGGTTCAAATATCAACATCGAACTCGCATGTACAGGAGGGCATGTGGAGGAGAAACTCCTCAACTGAGTAAAAACAATGTAACATCAGTATATCACGTATTTTTTTCTTAAATACTGAATAAGTTGAACCTTTATAGCTGTGTGGTAGGGCATTAGCACTGATATATCTATATGAATTTTGTGTTTTCTTAATTCTACAGAATGGTATGCAGATATCATCACTGTTTCTAGTTGAGTATGAATGTGTATGATTGTGCCGTACAACACCATATGTTCAACATTTTTTATGAATGAATAGAAGGCACTCCATTATATAGCAACAGGGTAATGGAAGAATTGACAATTTTTTGAAAAGAGGTCTACAGTGAGATAGATGAGCTACTAAAACTCATGATCCTTATAACTTTCTTTTGTACTACAAATACTTTTTCTTTGTGACTACAGTTTCCCCAGACTATTAGTCCATAAGTTAGTATACTATGAAACAGGGAGAAGTAGGACATCCTTAAATGCTGGATATCTAACTGATACCTTAATTGTCTTATTCCAAATGTTGCTCTTGCTAAGCGCTTGCATAGATCTTGAGTGTGATAACCGAAATCAAACTTCGAGTCTAAGTGTATACCTAAGAGCTTAACAGGTTCGCTGTGATTGCTGTAAGAAAATATTCTGAGTTTTTGTTTCATTGAGAGTAAGACAGTTTGTGCAGAACCATTCTTTGGATATTGACTCAGACTGTTCTAGATTAGTAAGTGATTCTTGACTGGTCTTGCTAGTGGCTATATAAGTTGCATCATCAGCGTAGAAAATTGGTTTTACAATTTGATCAAGATTAATAGCCAGATCATTGAAATAAATGATGAAAAACAGGGGTCCAAGTACGGATCCCTGAGGGACCCCATACTTTACTGTATGAGCATCAGATATTTGGTTGTCATGCTCAACATAGTAAGTCCTATTTTCTAGATATGAAGAGATGAGGTCTAATGGAGTTCCTCTTATGCCATATCTTTCAAGTTTAGAAAGTAAATAATCATGGCGAACTGTGTCAAATGCTCTCGTCAAGTCATAAAATCTAGCAAAGCTGTTCAGTTGATCATCAAAACCATCTAATATGATGTCACAGAGCGCACAAACTGCGGCAATAGTGGACTTTCCAGTTCTGTAACCGAACTGATTATCACAGATCAGATTGTTTTTTTCAAAGAAAGTTATGAGTCGTATCTTTAGGATAATTTCAAAAATCTTGCCTATTATAGGTATGATAGAGATAGGTCTATAATTAGCTGGTAAATTTATATCTCCTTTTTTATAAATTGGTGATACTCTAGATATTTTAAATATATCTGGAAAATATGGCCGCTCGCTGCCCTTAACTGATCACCCTGTACATTATAGGAGCTCTGGCAAACATAACTTACAAGCCTACATTATAAAAAAAAACGAATAAAACTGTTCTGATTTATACAATGGATTTTATTGAGTTTTGAAAGAAAGAAGTCATGCTGCCGCTCCCTGTACTTTTTGCGTTAACAAAGACAATCAACCAATATGCTCTTAGCTGGGAGCCATCGCCCAAGTGCACGCCGAAAATGGACCTGTCATCGCGAAGAACGCCGAAAGGTTGTTGGCGCAAGGAATCACGGGCCCCGAGGGCCACGAGCTATCCAGACCGGAGGAACTGGAGGCCGAGGCCGTCAACAGGGCTTGCGTTATCGCCAAACAGGTAAGTGTGTGAACCAGACGGTGTCGCGTCAATTGGACGTGGAAAATTGGACGCACGACTATTGGTCGCAGTCAATTGGACGCGGCGACAATTGGACGCGGCGACAATTCGACGCGGCGACAATTGGACGCATGCGTAAATAAAAATAATTTTATAATTCCAATGAAATTCATTGTGAAGGTTAGGTGTTAGGTTAGGTTAGGTATTTGTTATATTATAGATATGAGCCCTGCATATTCCATGCAATAAATTTCATTGGAATTATAAAATTATTTTTATTTTCGCATGCGCTCAATTGTCGCCGCGTTCAATTTCTCGTCGCGTCCAATTGTCGCCGCGTCCAATTGTCGCCGCGTCCAATTGACCACGTCCAATTGTCGGTAATCCGAACCAGACATAAAACTACTGTCTAGACCGCTACGGCCATAAGGAAGAAGCTGAGCCACTAACGAGATCGAACTGGGGAACTGGAATCATGCGCATTTAGGACCTGTCATATATTTTATTTAATTATCGAACAAATAACTTCTAAAAGGAAAACAGGCAATACAAAATCGGTCGACCACACTGTATCTAAAAATCTTCAGTAAAAGGTTACCGGTTTCGGCACAACGGCCAATAGTACTTACCTAAAATATTATGTGACAATAATGAGAACAAAACATTTTTTTTTAAACATACCAAACCAACCTATACGAGATGATTTTTGTCAACGGGAATCTGGAACATTTGTAGCTCTTTTTTAAAACTGGTTCTGATGTTTTTATACAATCATCAGTATGCCATCAGTACTAAAAGGAACTGAAATTGTAAAAATTGACACGTATTGAAGAAGAACAATGTTTTTGACGTGTTATGCCCCCAACTTTCTTCGTTCGTTGGCCTACTACAGGGGGTCGTTACAAAGTAATTTTTTCCGATCAATGGATTCGTGATTATTGAGGCAGGAGGCAGACTGAGATTGTAGAGATTAAGACAACATATAGATAGTTACTGAGACATATATTCAGGCAGTATGGTCAGGCACAGAGGTTACAGGCAACAAAATCAAAGTTTGCTTACATTTTATATTGCACATTTTTGTTACACTGTTCACTTGTTTTTTAATTGGCGAGAGATTCACTTCACTCTTTCGTCTTAGTCACAAGAGTTGCAGTTTACAATGAATCTACCTGAGTGGTTACTTACACAGGTATTATTAACGAAGTTCACTGGTACTGTTCGAACGTAGCATGTTTGATAGACAGATACAAAGTCGACTGGATACGTTTTGTATTGAGACGTTTAAAACTCAACATATTACATTCTGCTCAATAGATTCAATGATTGAAATTCAATCCCTCCCGAGGCTCATTAACAAAACTTTCAACTAACACAACGGAGATCGAGACATCGTATAGGAGACTGATCAAGACTGCTTCAAGAATAACTTCAGACTGTCTTCTCTCATTCGGATTGTTTCTCCTTTTATACAGAATTTAGCAATAAATTTTGGGAGAATCAATTAAATATAAAACAAGCTCGTGTTTATATTAGGCAAGATTTTTCGTAGATTTTTGAGCGATAAATTACAGATGTTAGGATTAATGTGCGAAACTAAAAAGATTTCGTTGTAGTTCTGAATTGTTATGACGATAAATAATTTAAAGCTTCAACTCATACTCTTGATGTTAATAAAACTGTCACTTACTATAGTTTTCCATTAACCCTTTTTCAAGCAATAATTCAATGTGGTTTATGATTCTCATTAATTTGACTTGACTTCAATTTGCACAAGTGAGATGATTTCGATTCTCTAATGTTATGATAATAATTCACTTCAGGAATATTAACAAAATTGACAATTACATGCTCTTTCCTTTACGTATTTGGGCTAAATAATAATTTATTGATCTTTGGAGCCAATCAGATTGAAGTCAGTCCCTCTTTACTGAACTTATAAATTCTCTGCAAATTCTAATCAACGTCATTTTTGTCTCTCAATTCGGTCCTGTGATATCAACCTGCTTCGTTCTTAAGTGACCAGTGAATTCGTTTTACAAAGGTAACGTACCCGTATTTATTCTATACATTTATTTATGCTAATGATGCTGCACTCAATTCAAAATAAACATTCGTCCGTTCACGTAATAATATTGCCTAGTAGACGCATGATGAAAGTTATTCTTATTTAAGACAATTATTGTTCACTGTGCTTAGTTCAAAAGAATTCAGAAATCCACATAATTTTGTCTAAGATACCCGTTCATTACAGACGTTGGACACGAAACAGAAAATTAATCAGTGACATTTTGTGACCCTTTCGAACAACGGATATACTCATTATTTACATAAAAAAAGCGTGAGAAGTGTTGCAAAAATTAATTTAGGTTCCTAACTACACAGTGGAGTAATTGAATGCCAATAATTCATTATCAGTCCACTCGCCCATTGATTGGTTGGTGTATCAAATGGAGATCGATATAGTACTTTTAACGATTTTCTATATGATGTTAATATTTTATTGAAATTATTTGTTGAACAATATCTTCAAACATTTATCAAATAGTTGATCCAACATAGTATATGAGAGTAGAGAATCATTTTTGCAATTTTAATGTCAAGTTTGGGACATCTTCTCAATGCACCAATACTTAGAGATATTTTCTTTGTCAAAACATCAATATGTTTGTCCCACTTCAAATTTTCATGAAACCAAATACCATAACCAAGATTAAGGTTAATTTTTTGTTGGCAAATCATATATTCTGTTTTATTAATTTTTCAAATATTTTCAAATCATCATCCTTGCTTTCATATAAAAGTAAATGGTATATTTACTGCACTGACATTTTGAATGTAAAGTAATTATAGGATAGCTCCCAAAACAGCTTCTTGTTAATTAATAGTTTTGATACTGATTTGGTAGATTTCATACTGATCGTCCTATTTTCCAAATATGATTCCAAAACATTTCTCACAGTGCCTCTGATTCCCCATTGATTTCAAGTTTTCAAAAAGTGTTGTATGATTAACTCACTTTTACTTATGTTTCCGAACACCAAGAAACATTACTCGATATAGTGAACAACAGTTCGAGAGTTTCTGCGCATTGAGCAGAAACGTTTTCAGGCGAGCAACTTACCCTAGATTTTCGGGTTGCTAGGATATGACATATAGCGGTCTAGATAGTAGTTATGTAGTGGTGCGAACGGCAGGAAGGCCTGGTATAACTCCCGCTTGGCGGCGCTAGCGTGGTTGGGAGGGTGTTACCCGTCATGTACAGGGTGGCTGGAATTCGAGCCTAATCATTGGGATCTCGTTATGCGTAAGAGATACAAGGTCGGTGAAAATATGGCATAGTTGCGCAATTTTATGCCAAACAAAATGCCGTTTTGAAATTTGAAAAATTCCGAATATTTTTGAAATAAAAACGAATATTCATTCACGTTTTCACTTTTATGTTTTATGACTATTGGAATAGATGTAACAAAACAACTTATACATAAATGAATACCAAACGCAATGTTCATAAAATGAACAACAATGGTAGATTTCGGTAGAAAAACAACTACTTTCCTGGCTAACGCCACGCAGAACATTGAATTACACCCTCCCGAAATCTATGTATCGTCTCGTATAATTCTCATTGTTACTTTTTCTGTTCTACAAGATGGTGTTATCAGATATTCAAACCGACAATTTGTCTTTGATTTGCCATCATCAACTTTGTTTTTTTTTTAAATACCGCCCTGTATTTTTTTATAGATTTGGAGAGCTTTCATTCTCCTGAATTCAACGGTGTATCGCACTTATTCGAAAAAGATGATTGTTTTTGTCCCTATTAAAAATCTATTTGTCTCTCTCTAATACATATGAATTTTTCAACAAGTGCGATACACCGTTGGTTTGGGAGATTGAAAGCTCCTAACATCCATAATAAAAATACAGGGCCGTATTTAGAAAAAACGAAGATGATGATGGCAGCTCAGAGACGAAAGGTCTTTTTGAAAATCTGATAATACCATCTTGTAGGACAGAAAAAGTAGCAATGAGAATGTTCAATTTGTTTTGTTACATCTATTAGTGAATATTCTTTTTTTTACATATATATTTGAGAGTATTTTAAATTTTTCAAATTTCAAAAACGGCATAAAATTGCGCAATATTTTAACCGACCCTGTATCTCTTACGGTTCACACGATCCATGCAAGATCTCAATGATGAGGCTCGAATGAAACGATCACTGAACTTCACGTCACCGTTCTTGGCGTCTACGTTAACGCCACGTGAACTATGGAAACGGCTGGCGTCACCTTAACATACGTCACGTCTATGATTCGATTGAATAGCAATAATTGAGGTATTTTCTATCTTGAACGAGAGAGAGAGGAAAGTTAATGATACCAACGTAGCCTCATTGAAATATAGAGAGGTCCGATAAATCTGTCCTTGTCTAACATCTAGTTTGTGCCACTGAACTATTTTTGAACTCAGCAGAAAGAATGATGTCAAAATAAGAATGATATAATTCGAAATTTTATTTAAATAATTCGAAAGGTTATCAGTCGATGACACTAATGACATAGAAATGTCACATCATTATAACATCGAAAATAGTTCAGTGGCGCAGAGTAGACGTTAGACAAGGAAATATTTATTGGATCTCTCTATATTTCAATGCGGCCACGTTGGTAGCACTGAAGAGAAAGATGGAAGAAGAGAGAACTTTCCTCTCTCTCTCGTCCAAGGTAGAAAAGAGCTCAATTGTAGTCTAGGCTGTGAATCGCATAATATTTTAGGTACACGCTAAGAATGGTGACATAAACTGACTATATACAAGATTGATGAAATCTGTGGATGAACTGGATAGTCAGCGTGCGAATGACGCTAACACTTCATTTGGTTATAAGTATTTCTAAATCAACTAATTTTCCTTCCCGAAATCAAGTAAATTCATTGACAGATGAGAGTTGTGAGCAGACATACTGTAATATTGAATTTCATCAAATTAGATAGTACTTACGACTTCAATAAACGGATTTTCAAATTGTCGATGAATTGAAATTTGAATGAAGATTGACGGGTGGCATGACTGTCAACCTAACTATCACCATGTGTTTTGAGCTTTCTTAGTTTACTGCCATTGATCGTTAGCGCTTCTTTCCGTGTGAAATTTGGAGTTTGAGCATATTATTTGATCCCAGAATATGTTTGTTCTGCGTATGACCATCTAGGAGTTGACACCTAGCACGTACGATATATTCTTAATTCAACACACATATATCTGTCACTTACTGACTTCTGCTTAGACATAAAATATTAATATGTTTCGAAGTCTTTGAATCACATAAATTTGTTTCATCAACCAAATATTCGGTGTAAACAGTGCTCAATACTGAATTTATTCTGCCAAAAATCTGCTTCTATTCTGAAAAATTGTTTTCAAAATATTCAGCTTCAAGGGATTGTTACTCCTTTCTCGCACTAGTTGTTGCAACTTTTGCTTGTTATTTTTCGTTTCAACCATATTATGCTATATTTATTTTTATGCTTTGTGTTTTCTTAATGCTTCAAACTTTTGTGTCAAGTCATCATCAGTGTGTGCAAGTGCTTGTTATTATATTATTATGTAATTGGAAATTATTGAATATTTTCTTCAACGAAGTCAAGAAATTGTTCCGTCCCAAAGCTGGGGGATCATTGTACTACTAGATCATTGCTGAAAATATTCAAAATGATTTTGAAAATGGGTGTGTATGTAACATTTTTTGAAAACATATTCTGCTCGAATTTAGGAATGTTTGTCTATAGTTCAAAGGTATTTTGAGTACCTAAGCACATAATCTTGGTATATTCACATCCTTCCAAACAAGCTATACATATACAGTGCGTTCATTTAATGCGTCTATCAGACTTTTTTTCTGGGATAAGGATATAAGGGCTTATTTTTGATGAATTTCTCTATCAGATATAAACTAACCTGACTAATTTACCATCATATACCAGATGATCATTCAAACCAACCATGTACTTCTAAAATCAATACTACTTATCGTTCTCGTAGCAATGCCGATACTAGGCAGCAGCTCTCAATAAGTTCACTCAATAAGTCACTAGTCGACGGTATATCATTTCTGAATGTTTGAGTTTTTCTAGCACCGACTCTCTTTTTGATTTTGGGACGTTTTCTCGGTTGTTTGGAAGATGCATTCTTCAACGATGACGAAGAATCTATTGATGACTCACATTGATATTCATCAGAAAGATACACATCCCGAAACAGTGATTCTCCATCTTTATTGCTTCAGTTTTCGTCTTCATCGGACAACACCTCCTGACATAACTCTCAATAAGTTCACTCAATAAGTCACTAGTCGACGGTATATCATTTCTGAATGTTTGAGTTTTTCTAGCACCGACTCTCTTTTTGATTTTGGGACGTTTTCTCGGTTGTTTGGAAGATGCATTCTTCAACGATGACGAAGAATCTATTGATGACTCACATTGATATTCATCAGAAAGATACACATCCCGAAACAGTGATTCTCCATCTTTATTGCTTCAGTTTTCGTCTTCATCGGACAACACCTCCTGACATAACTCTCAATAAGTTCACTCAATAAGTCACTAGTCGACGGTATATCATTTCTGAATGTTTGAGTTTTTCTAGCACCGACTCTCTTTTTGATTTTGGGACGTTTTCTCGGTTGTTTGGAAGATGCATTCTTCAACGATGACGAAGAATCTATTGATGACTCACATTGATATTCATCAGAAAGATACACATCCCCAAACAGTGATTCTCCATCTTTATTGCTTCAGTTTTCGTCTTCATCGGACAACACCTCCTGACATAACTTCGTCAATTGCTTTTGTTCTTTCTCGTTTGCAGCATCACGAGACAAGTTGAGCCGGTCTGCCGGTCCCCCGCATAGCGTAGTGACACGTTGGTCTCGCGCAGCCGCCTGAACAAAATGGCCGAATGAGGGGCCGTGTGAGACCAATGTGGTCTCCAAAAATTAAGCGTCATTTTCAACCTTTCAAAAATTCCGGCATATCAAAAATAAAAGTAGATATCAACAGTACGTTCTGTATGTTTTAGGCAAAAATAATGTATCGGCCTGTGGAACCGATATTTTTCGATACATGGTGGCACTCAACCTGTTAACGCCCGCAAACCCGGGCGGTAAAGTGCACTTTACCGCCCGCTAGTGCATGAAAAATTCCATGCAAACCAACATTGAACTTTCCGTCATTGATTGATGTCGTTGTAGGTAGACTGCCCGTTGTATGTAGTGCATGTGATGAGTAGATCGGCGGCGAAAAAAGTGGCCGAGGCCAGAGACGATGGCGGCCGAGTGTACGGGGAAACGTTGGCCGCGGCCCTAGGCACTTACGGGGCCCGCTCGGAGCACGAGTGCTTCCGACACTCGGCGGGCCACGTCCTAAGCCCGCCTCTCAGACCCGACCCCGCCACGCCCGATTGTTTGATGACTTGTTTGGCACTGTAAGTTTTTTTTTTCGTTTTGGCACCTGCTGTTTTGCTAGATATTAACCGTGTTTGTCTGCTTGTTTTTTCGTGATTTCCACTAACATTCAACTTGTTTTCTTGTCTTCTTGGGCCCCATAAAGATGTAATGTTCTCGAAAAAAATAATACAGGGCGAGTGAATAGTGTGTTCTCCTTCTATATTAGCCAAACCGTCAGATATATAGAAAAAATTGGAATACAACAGTTATAGGGTTTCTTGGGAACTATCACCTAAAATTATATTGATATCTATAGGGTATTCGAATTCCAAGATATCGTTTGATGGTGGGTGTTTTCAAATGAGACACCCTGTATATTATTACATTTTTAGATTCTCCCTTGAGAGCTGATTTCATCAATGTATCGCACTTGGGGTCCAGCTGAAATGTTTATAGAAATAGGGTGTTCAAAATCTATCTTTTTCAACTTTGTGATTTTTTTGTGTTAAAAATATTTGCTATTGGTCGAAACGGCTTTCATATCCCTATCTCAACTTTTGTTTCACCATCTTCTGACACTTAATTGGAACAAATACAGGGTGGTTCAAAACTCAAGATTTCTGTTCACCCTGTATTTATTCCAATTAAATTTCAGTAGATAGTAAATCAAACGTTGAGATAGTGACATGTGAGACGTTTCGACCAATAATGAATAGTTCTGACACAAAAAAAACATCGATTCTGAACACCCTATATCTCTGTAATCAATTCCGCTAGACCCCAAGTATGATGCATTGATGAAATCAGATCTCAGGGAGAATCTAAACATGTAATAATATACAGGGTGTCTCATTTGAAAACACCCATCATCAAACGATATCTTGGAATTCGAACACCCTATAGATATGAATATAATTTTAGGTGATAGTTCCCATTGTATAGAAGCCTTGTGTCGATTTAAGCGGGAAAATTCCAATTCAGTGAAAAGAATGATGCACAATCGGGTCGATTCACTGACATAAACTACTATTTAGACCGCTTATGCCATAAGAATGAAGCTAAGCCACTCACGAGATCGAACTGGGGAACATGAATCATGCGCATTTGGACCTGGCATATACAAGATGTTTTTGAAATAAGTGCACATATTCAGCACATCAATATGATACAGTCTAAGGAATATTCCCATGATATCAGATTTTTTCTAATTCTTCTAATTAACGAAACATTCAATTTCAAAAATGGGGAAGTTTCCTTCAGATGAATTTTCATAAAATAAGTTCGGAACTCTCCAGTTTTATGTCCACGCTGTACAGAATGGCGACCGATACAGTCCGAGTCGTTTTCACTTCCAAATTAAAGCAATTTCTAATTTGCGGAGCGAACTGTGGCGTACATTCTGAATCTAGTCTGAAAATAGCTGATGGTGAAGAATATAGCTAGCGAATTGCTAACGAATGAAAAAATAGAAGAAGTAAAACTGGTAAACAAAAACAAACATAACCAGAAATGCACTCGGAGCAGGAATGCAGAAGGTATTTGGCTTCATTCTGACAGGTTATAGTTTTGTTATTTATGCATTGAAATATCTCAGATATAGAGCTCGAACCTAAACGAAAATTCCATTGAATCAATGAATTACTATCGGCTACATTCAATGATACTATCCTTCCTAATTTACTGCCATCGGTCAGAACAGAATGAAGCCGACACCCATGGCTCCTTCCTCTTATTGTGCCTGTCAGTATTTTTAGTGGTGTGGACGGACTCCAAGTATTAGGCGCTGTTGCAAGATATAATCTGCAACTTTCCTAGAAAATATATCTGTTTTATTAGGAAACGAATTCATTAGCAAAAAATTACTGACAAGTTATGAATAACATATTGTAATATAACAATAGTGAAAAAGTATATCACAAAATATCATGATTTATCTTTATCAGTAATCAACTTCATTCAGCCAATGGGAGATTTATGGGAATTATTCATAATACTTGACATAGAACAATTTCCGGGAATCTAGACATATTGAATTTTAACTCTGTGTGACTGTGGATTTTCAGAAAGTACGTCATAGGAATGGTGGAGGAGCCAAGTTCCTCTTTTATTTATTTTTTTCTGAAGTGAAATTAGATCTTACGAATAAAAAAAATACGTACCTATTATATTATCACAAACTTCACAGTGAGATAAAAACCACAATATAGAAAACTTCCCCATTGAACAAAATACGAGAAAAAATCAAGTACGCCACTTTAAAACAATTTAAATGATTGAACTCCGCGTGATTGTGCCTACGGCATGGAAATTTGTACAGAGGTGACGTCAGATTTGCTACAGAGTAGAACTTTGGGTGGAAAAAGGAGTCTGACCTCAAATTTTTTTTATTAGTGCCATTCGATAGTACACGTCGCGCGTACTCAGTGTTTGAAATATTTGCACTTATTTCAATGCCACCCTGTATCTTGCTCATTCTCACGTATGTCTCTGAAACCCCTAGAAACATAACTCGATGTCATGAACGAAAGTTCGAGTGTTCCTGTACATTGAGCAGAAGCAGAAGAAGAGATTTTCGTGTTGCTGAGATATAGCGGTCTAGATAGTAGTTATGTGACTGGGTCGATTTTGTTTGCAAATAGCAATATGGTTATGTTATTGAGAAGATATTGCTATCACAGCAGGATTCGAAAATGTGGAATTCTGATCACCGGTTCTAGGCAATATAAGTAAATTTATTCAAATCAGATATAACAGATACAGATACGTCTTCAATAGAAGCAAAGAGGATACATGAATATATAAATTCTATAATCCTAGGAGAACCATTGAAAGTTGCGGCTACCTAAGCAATATGATTTGTTGATTTCGATGACATCTTGTTTAGTTTTCTTACTGTCAGCAATAGCAATTTTGTACTTGCTATCTCATAACAATATTGAAAATAGCAGTGGATCCTTTGTTTTTCCACTATAGTTCCACTATAGAATTTAGAAGATAGGTGGATATACACATGAGAAGTTCACTTGTGTAACTAACTACTTGAAAACCTTTTCGTGAAGTTTCAATTTGTAGTGGAACCTTGAGATTACAATTTCTGGATATCAGATCAGTGACACCAGTAATCCATTTGAGTTTCCTGATGGAAAGTTTATCAAGCTGTTTCGTTTGAATGAGCCTACAACGTGAGTTTCTCGTTATAAGAATCGTCTTCTTTTCCAAAAAAAATCATCAATTCCATCTGGCTTTTGGTTGTTTTCTTATTCCGAGATTGATTACTTGCACCACTTGCACAATCACGACCAAATTCACCAAACAAACAATGCGTAATTGTGAATGATATAATTTTAAAAATAGTGTCTAAATCTTTCCAAAGATCCCTATCACGCGATATGTTGGGATTTGTGTTTTTTTATGATTATTATTTGCTGTGAGGATGAGTTGAGGATGAGGATAGCATGGCGTCAGCCCACCGTGATCATTGGTGTACTGATTTGAGTTTTCAAGGATGTATTTTCTTCTTTACGAGACATGGAGGGTAAATGCAATTCTGTATTCTGTTTGGACAGTAACTGCAATTATGGGTTATAAGTTCAAGTGATAGCAATATTGTTGAAAAATGGATTAATTCTGAGCTGACAACACTATTTTAAATCTTTTGATGAGTGTTGATACCGTGAGTGCGATTATTTCATGAAGAAGAATTTATGTAACCTTCCTAATTTTTCTGTCTTGCACTGACATTTTAAAATTCATAGTATTCAAATTGACAGATTGTTGGTATTTGTTGAATTTGGTAGTGATTGTCCAAGTAATTGTGGAAGTAATCAATCATGTCCTGAAATAAGAAAACAACCAAAAGTAAGAATGAATTAATCGCATGGGTGCCGCCAGATAAATGTATGTTATGCCATTTAACGAGCAAATCTGGACAGTGACCTAGAACCTCTTCATTCAAACAGTAACCTTATAAAGGAAGATCTTAATCTTTTCTTTCCGCTGCCGGCGCCAAGATGGAAAAGAACCCGATTCTTATAACCAGAAAAACGTTGCTGACTCATTCAAGCAGAATAGCTTGATAAACTTTCCATCAGGCAACTCAAATGATTTGCTGGTGATCAGAAATGTTTATAATCACCTATTTTCTACAAAAATTTGGAAGATATGGTAGTACAAATAGAAAGGATTCACGCCATTCTCAACCTTGTTATGAGATAGCAACTATAAAATTGATGTTGCCGAGATCGCAAGAAAACTAACAAGGTCTCATCGAAATTGACAGATCATATTGCCCAGAATGAATGATCAGAATTCCAATTTTTTTAATATTGCTGTGATAGCAATATTCTCTCCACAACAATATTGCTATTTGCATACAGAATCGACCCGATTGTCCCGAGTGGCACATCATGATACGTCACACATCTTCCTGTCGTCATCTTTTCGGGGCCCGCCCACCTGTGACCGTTTTCCGACGTGTAGGTGAACGCGCCGCTGTACGTGGCGCACGTGACGTCAGAAAAGTCGGCCGAGACGCTGGCCGAACACGCGGCGCAGAGCGTTCGCGTCTTCGGCGCGCTGCAGGCGGCCCACGTGGGCGTCGCGACGGACCAGCGTCGCGGCGGCGACTCGAGCATGGTCACGTCGCCGCCCATCCGGTCCGATCCGGCGTCGGCGGACAAGCTGTTGGCTTTTCTGGCATCGTAAGTATACGGAGGGGGGCGTCGTGGGCATTGGCGTTTTGATTGTGGTCACGTCACCGCCCATCCGGTCCGATCCGGCGTCGGCGGACAAACTGTTGGCTTTTCTGGCATCGTAAGTATACGGAGGGGGGTGTCGTGAGCATGGGCATTCTGATTGTGGTCACGTCACCGCCCATTAGTTCGGTTCTGTAATGGGCTGACAGGCTAGACAACGATGATGACAAATTTCTGCTGATTGCCCAAAATCTACCGCCTGTGTGTGAAAACTAGGGAAACATTTATCATATATTTATTATATATATATAATACACATTTTTTAACTATATTTATTCTGTAAATGTGTCCATCCGGTCCGATCCGGCGTCGGCGGACAAGCTGTTGGCTTTTCTGGCATCGTAAGTATACGGAGGGGGGTGTCGTGGGCATGGGCGTTTTGATTGTGGTCACGTCACAGCCCATTAGTTCGGATCTGTAATGGGCTGACAGGCTAGACAACGATGATGACAAATTTCTGCTGATTGCCCAAAATCTACCGCCTGTGTTTGAAAACGAGGGAAACGTTTATCATATATTAATTACATAATATACATTTTTTATGTATATTTATTCTGTATATGTGTCCATCCGGTCCGATCCGGCGTCGGCGGACAAGCTGTTGGCTTTTCTGGCATCGTAAGTATACGGAGGGGGGTGTCGTGAGCATGGGCGTTTTGATTGTGGTCACGTCACCGCTCATTAGTTCGGATCTGTAATGGGCTGACAGGCTGTCGGATTTTCTGGGCTCCGTCTGTATGTAGAGAACATAGGCATATGAAAAGAGGAAAGACGAAATTGTTTACATTGTGTCCCGATCCAACATCGTATTCGGCAGACAACGATGATGACAAATTTCTGCTGATTGCCCAAAATCTACCGCCTGTGTTTGAAAACTAGTGAAACATTTATCATATATTAATTACATAATATACATTTTTTATGTATATTTATTCTGTATATGTGTCCATCCGGTCCGATCCGGCGTCGGCGGACAAGCCGTTAGCTTTTCTGGCATCGTAAGTTTACGGAGAGGGGCGTCGTGGCATGGGCCTTTTGATTGTGGTCACGTCACCGCCCATTAGTTCGGATCTGTAATGAAATAATTAAAATTTTCCTAAATTCATCATTACATAAAATCATAATGTATTATGGAAATGAGTGTGGCATATTTTTCTTGAAGTCATTCACCTATGTCAAAATTCGACGTTACAGTTGTGTTTTTCAGAATTTTTTGTGTTTGAATTGAATTTCAGTGTTTTTTTGTTATGAAACTATACAAAAACTATATAAAATTCTATTATGATTCGCCAGTGCGTGGATTGTGAAAAAGTTCACCATACCAACCCCAAGGTTATATGTTTCCTTCAACTTGAGCAGTGTTGTAGTTATCGCAGGTTATTTAACTAAATTATTATAAGAAACCTTGTTTAGTCGGCACTAAGTAGTGAATATTGGAAAACATTCACCAATGGTAGAACTATTTTAAGAATTCGTAATATTTTTTATATTCTAAAATACTCCTAATGAAATTTAAAATAAAATTTAATTTAGTTGATTGTAGAAAAAATATTTTATCCAGAAATGTTTTGATTTTTTCAATATCGCGTTTTCATCATATCAATAAGGAATCAAATATTTATAATTCTTTTGTCCAATTGTTCCATTCGATTTATATTTCCATGTTTCATTTTTGTTCCTCATATCATAGGTTTTTTTTCAATTTAATATCATTTCATGTCAGTTGATAAGGTATATAAAACTGATTTATATTCATCTATAATATTCATCTTTTGTGATTCTTTGTATAATATTCATCTTTTGTGATTATTTGTATAATACTCCAGTAGGAAATGAATAATCTTATCCATGAATACATTTTCAAAATCAATTTTTGAATATTTCCAAATATATTTGCTTTAATCCTCTCCATCCTAAAATTCCATAAATCAATTGAGACAGATGCAGAGCAGGATATATCATTATTATTCTGAAATTTTTAATAAAATACCATACAAATTTAAACGTCTAGAAATCATAACTTTCAAAAAAGAAGTTAGAAGCTGGCTTATAGAAAATGCAGACATAGTCGATGATCTTTTTTAATAAACTCTCTTTATTTCAATTTTATTCTTATTATTGTGTGAATTGATTATTTGTTTTCAGTTTACTCTTTCACACACAGGTCATTATCCTATGTGAAGGAGGTACAATATGAAATATATATACATGTAATTAATATTCAATGACGAAAAATGTAGGTTTTACCTGATCCAATAAATAAGTAATAAATAATAATAATAATAATATTCCGACGTTCATCGACCGACATTTCCAGAGACGTGCTGCAGCTGACAGGCAGCGACAACTGCACGTTCAACAAGTCCCAAAAGGAGTTGGGCATCGAGAACTTCACCAAGATACCGAACGGAGTGAACGGCGTCGAGGACAGGATGTCCGTCGTGTGGGAGAAGGGCGTCCACGCAGGTAAACTATCGACAGTGTCGATAGTGCACTGAAAAAACTATCGATACCACCGATTGAGCTATCGATAGTAATTACTTGTTTTTGTTACTTTGATAAATTCATCAAGCGATCTTGGTTATAATGGTTTGATACCTGTATATACAGATTGAACCTCGGTGCTGTCATTTTAAAATATGCCTCCCAAGTCCCAAAGGACAATTTCATCAAAATGAAACATCATCATTCGATTCTCAGTTATAAAGATATATTCAAAAAATAAATTGATGAAAATATATTTCTATCATAGGTATCCAACAAGTCCAAGACTCCTTTCGTATAAATCCTACAAAAAACTCCAAACTCTTAGGTTTAACTATAGACCAGACTCTATCTTGGTCATCGCATATTCAATTTCTCAGGAAAAAAATATCTCCCATTATTGGTATATTATACAAATTGAGGTCTTTTATACCTCTTAAATACTTAAAATTAATTTATTTCAGTTTGATTTACTCTAAATTACAGTATCTGATATCGATCTGGGGTACTGCAGCAAAATCTGTTTTGAAACCTCTGAAATCTCTTCAAAATAAAGCCATAAAATGTATTTATAAACTACCATTTCTGGAATCAACATCTAGACTATACAAACCAAGAGATCTACTAGATATTGACTCTCTCTTCAAAATGAAAGTATGCATTTTCATTCATTTCACTAAAAATAAGAAAAAGCACTCGAATCTTACTTTCAATATCAATTCTGATACCCATGAGCATCACACCAGACAAAGTGAAAATTTGAAAACTGTTAAAATAAAAACCCAATTCGGGAAAAAATCTTTGTCTTTTTGTGGAATAAATATTTATAATAGTCTACCCAACAGAATAAAATCTATTAGATTCGTCACAAAATTTAAGTGTGAACTGAAGAAATATATTTTATCAATTTAACTCCCCCCTTGTATCAATTAATTCTGATTGAACTGTTTATCTTTCATTGTATTGCATATTTGATATTTTTTTTTTGTTGTTTCCCTCTATAAACATTGTATGTTTCTTGGGATCAATTAATGTTATTATTATTTATTATTATTGATTCTTCCACTCAACATATTACAAGATTTTATAAAAATCATTTTCAAAGACAAGCTTTTATAAAATTGCATTACACACAGACAGACCGGTAAAAATATCCGACATACCAATTTTGGATATAATCGGACCATAATCGCAAAACTCTTCCGCCATTTAGAAGCCCCCATCTTGACTTTCTCAATTTTGACGAAAGAATCATAATCTCCGACCCTGAAATCCCCCGTATACAAATTTTGATTAGAATCGGATTATAATTACAAAACTTGTTCGCTATATTGAATCCACCATCTTGAGTTTTCCAATTTTGGTGAAAAAATTATAATCTCCGGACTCGAAAACACCCAGATAGGTACAAATTTTGAATTGAATCGGATCATAATTGCAATACTCGTCCGTTATATCTTGAAATTTCACATTTTGACAAGAAAATCATAGTTTTAGATGTATGACAAACTGACATTTATCATACAGGGCGTGTAATATATTTTTTATATCGTTATATTCATCATAGTATTCATCCGATTCTGGAAGAGAATGTCAATTCTCAATTTCAGACGATATTCATTTTATGCTCAAATTCCTATCGTGTATGTTCAATTGATATAATTCAATGTTCGTCGTGGCATATAGCCAGGAAAGTAGTTGTTTTCTGTTGAATATGCCGAGAAAGAATTAATAATTTCATCACATAGAGAATGCGAATTCTCAATGTATTTATTCAAATGTATCCATTTTTTCATGTTTATAATATATCTGAGAATATTCCTTTTCAAGAAAATCATAATTGGCGACCCCAATAAATCCTAAATACCAATTTTGAATAGAGTCGAATCATATAATTACAATACTCATCCGCCATTTCGGAGCTGCCATTTTGTTTTTTTTGTCTCACAACAATTTCAAATCAATCGGACAATTAGGTCAGCCAGCCGCGTGGTTGAAGCATTAGTATTCTACCGCGATGGCCTAAGAAAGGGCTCGGGATCATACGTTAAAAGGTAAGGCCCCTGTCATTCCTTGCTCGCACAAGTCTCTTGAAGACTTCTGAGGGTTGCTCAAAAGGGGGCAACCGAATGACTGATGAGAACAATTTTAGAACAAAGAACAATTAGAAAAGTGTCATATTTAACTAGCAAGATTTGATTACACGCAGACACCGAGACAGGTGAAAGTAAATAAAAGCTTGTGAAAAATTATGAGTTATGTTAGTGTTATGCTGTTATGGAATGCGAGAACACACACAAACCTTGAGCAGGATATTGATATTATTCATTTATGTTGACGTTGAAGGGGATGGGATTTTCAGGGCATCAGCGTTGATACATTAGTGTATCTATCGCTCTTGCTCTCACGCAAATGTAGAACAAAGACACGATGGTCACTAAGCACTCGAGGACAGTCGAGCGGAAACTGCAATTAAACAATTAGGATTATCCGCATCCGAATGTTTCATTGTCTTATTGCTAACGCGCAGCCAATGCTTACTGCTTGGTCACTCTGGTTCTATTTCTGATTCTGACAGTATCACAATCGATAGTTGATTTAAACAGTCTCGTTTCGATATATCGAAAAAAAATAATACTATTGAAAATTATCGATAATACTATTGCTAATGGTGGCACTGGGAAGCTGCTAAAATAATATCCACGTCTTCAAATATCAACTTCGAATTCTTGGACAACACCCTCACAGCTCTTTAGTCTGAACTATACTGGTCGTCCTAACTATTTCCTGTCACCTCTCTTATCTAACTTATGTAACTCCTCAATCATGCATTCAATATATCTTATAAGTCATAAAACCAGCACTCGTCGATATTCTGAATATAATACAAGGTGATTGTACTAAATCACACAACATATTTAATAATAATAATGATACTATAATACTAGTAATTTATGTAACTTGGTGGGCACCTGTGGAGTGTTTCTAACACTATTGATTGTTTGTTACCTATACAGGTATCATCAGTCCCTCTCGGTTCGTCGCCGTGACCAGCACCAACGCTGCTAAGATCTTCAATTTGTACCCGAAGAAGGGGTGCATCGCGGTTGGCTCTGATGCGGACATCGTCGTGTGGAACGGGAACGCCGTGAGGACGATTTCCGCGCAGACGCATCACCAGGCTGTGGATTTCAACATTTTCGAGGTTCGTTGATTTAATGTTGTGAAGAACACAGCTTTTAAAAAACAGCTATTGCCTAGCTTTGACTCCACATTACTCGTTGAACTTTTGCCACTAGATGGGCCGTAGGACTAGATTGTCCAAGGTTGGTAGAACTGCTGATAATTTCATCAGTTTTGCCAACCTTGAGATCGTCCTCCTAACCTTCGGGGCATTTGATGATCAATTTGGTTGATTTGATGATAATTTCAGGGCATGCAATGTCACGGCGTGCCCGAATACGTCATCGTCAGCGGCAGGGTGTGCCTGGAGGAGGGCCAGCTGCGCGTGGCCGAAGGGCACGGCCATTTCGTCGACACGCCGGTGTTCGCGCCCTATGTGTACGAGCCCGAAAAGATGGCGGAGCTGAAGCCGACGAGGAACGGGCCCGCGGTGCCGGCAGTAGAACCGCTCGAATTGGAGGATGACTTTCGGCTGGTGAGTGGGTGGTTTTCTCTAGGGTCCTTTGATGCAAACTGACGTATTTTTCATCTAATGATACGCCAATGTCCTCAATATAACGTTTATCCCCAGAAATGAATAAAGATGGAACTATATAACTGTTCACAAACATTTTGGAGTGAGAGGAGATGAGGGTCTGTCCTCACCCTGTTGAGATGACAAATACGTCAATTTACATCAAGGGACCCTAGATTTCTCTAACTGGTGGCTCAGGGGAGTTGTTAGCTTATTTGAATATGATATGAAGAAAATACATGATATAATCAATGATTGTGACATTGACAACATTCTATAATACCCTAGATTATTTACAACAAGATGAACCATAGGCGACTGAGATTAAGATCGTTGCGCCAACAGTAGAAATTGGAACTACTGTATGGGCCATTGCCTTTGCCAGTCTGTTTACATCGTTTAGAAGCATTCTACATTCTACATTATTTTTCCATTGTTTTTTTTGTGTTTGAGTATTATACCGATTCGAATCTGGACATTTTAATTTGCTAAAATTAAAACTTCAAGTTGAAAAGGAAGTATATAAGGACACAATGAGTTTTATACAAAAATTGAGGATGACCGAACCTGTGCATTAAAATTTTATTTTGATAGTTTAGTAATGGAAATCAATTTGAACAATTCAATGAATAAGTGACCTGCGTGAAATTCTCTGTGACATGAGATTTTAGTTTGACATTTTCGCTGATAAACTTCGTAGATATAGAGGGGGCCCAAAAATTATAAATTTTCAAAATCGCACTGTACCTCAAAAACGGAAACAGTTATGCCAAATCTGATTAGGTCAACTGGAGATTCACAAAAAAGTGGCACAGGACCGCGAAAACCGCAAGGTTTTATCTCTAAGATAACTGAGATATCACGCGAAAGCATCGAAAACTGGACACACTGTACAGAGCTCTGGGGAGAAAACGACTTGCAACAGTGAACTACATCTTTTTCAATTGTAATTCAGAAAGTGTAACTTGTAATTCAGATTAGTTAATTGTAATTCAGAAAGCGTCAATTGTAATTCAGTTGCTCTTTCATAATTTTCCCTGCTATAAACATGTATGTTTCTTGGGAATAATAATAAAGATAAATAACATGTAATTCAGATTAGTGAAATGTAATTCAGAAAGTGTAACTTGTAATTCAGAATAGTCAATTGTAATTCATATAGCGTAATTTGTAATTCAGAGAGCATCACTTGTAATTCATAAATACTATGGACTTAAATATGCGTAAGGAATAGAAATCAACGAATGATATATTTTGTGGGGAACATCAATATTTTATATCTATCGACCAACGGGCATATCTTGAAATGCCAGAGCTGCAGCATGGCAAGTATCTTTGAGCATGGTGAATGGTGATGTGTGTTGTACAGCCCTAGCATAATCACCTCCAACAATTGTATCTTTGGCCTGGTCAATATTCTGTTCAAGATAAACAAGTCGTTGTTCTCAAGGAGAATGGATGCATACGGGTTGTTCCTAGTTTCTGAATCATAAGTGATACTTTTTGAATTACAAGTTATTCTTTCTGAATTACAATTGACGGTTTCTGAATTACATTTCACTATTCTGAATTACAAGTTACACTTTCTGAATTACATATTACGCTTTCTGAATTACATTTAACTAATCTGAATTTCAAGTTATACTTTCTGAATTACAATTAACTATTCTGAATTACAACTTATTCTGAATTACATCTTATACTTTCTGAATTACGATTGAAAAAAGTGTAGTTGGGGTTAGCACTAATACTGAAATGAAATTTTTCACTGAAACAGGCTTATTTCTCTGTGTTCCAGATGAAAGTTCAACACGATTATATTCTGGCGAGTACACACGAACCAGATTCTGTACACACACCTATCGGTAAGGGTGCCAGACCAGAAGGACAAAGGAACATCCAGGAATCTACTTTCTCACTTAGCGGTAAGTCTAATCACTTGAGAAAAATAGGTAGTTGAATTGATGAAAAAACAACGTGTACTTTGACCGTTTCGATCAAAAATGTTTCTATGACCCAACAAGGCAAATCAGGTTATAGTATATTATGTAACAAGTGTTATAAACGTCCTTTTAGTAACGAGTGTTTAATAAACGAGTGTCTAGAAGAGTTTATAAACGCGTTACATACTATGCTTTTTCTATGAACTAACCTACAAAATAATTCGAAAGGAATGGGAATTGAGAACATAATACATGCAACTGCATGCTTACTAACCTTTGTTTCACGTTTATTGTCATGCTTAGCGCAGAATAAATAAATTGTTCTCAAAGATGGATGCTTCATTTTTACACTTCTTCGAGATATGCAAGTACCAGAACATTCTCTTCGATTTCACTTTCGTCTACATTTCGCATATATTTTTAATGAAAAATTCTGATACAAACGAAAATTGTTTGAATAATTCTGATACAAAATTTGAAAATAACAGTGAGAGTTAATACAGGACAGACATATTGTGTTTAATGAACTGTGTTGCCATGGTAATGTGTTCAAGAAATCGTTGAAGAAACGTGTTTAATATTTTGAACAAATCACAGATCGTAAATCGGTGACTAATCGATCATTTAGCGTGGTACATATTCGTACGCTAAATGCCATTTTAGTTATGTGAGTAGAAAAACTATATTATGATGTCACGGTAGACTTCTGGTTTACCATTGAATCTTGACGGATATCATAACTTCAACTTTTCGTTGAGGATATCTTCGCTTTGTGAAATAAGGGATATACAATAGGAGAGTGTACTATTTTCTTTTATTCCTTAAATAGATCAACACTCAAATACCTTTTGATTTCGCATATTTTTTCGTTCGATTTTAATGTGCTTGAATCAACAATAATGCCACGGTAATTTTCAAATGGCTAAAAATTTACGGCGAGTAAAAACTGACGTCAGGATTTTGTAAGTAGGGACAGACCCTAGCAAAGTTGCAATACGTTGAAATACGATTGGAACTTCAGAAATATTAATTATTCAATAATTCATAAATTCTCAATTTTGTATTAGTTATATTCCTGATTATACATGAAAAATCAATTGTCTCAGACTATTCCCTCACCTGTTGTGGCTTATTGCTTATAATACATTTGTGTTAATAATAATATTATTATATTAATTCACACTAGAAGACAATTGAGGGCAAAAACGACCTTACGGCGCACGAATTGTGGGCGGTGCCTTGTCAGTTCTCAGCATTCAGCACATTGTTGCCAAGTCTTCAACATCGACATGATATTTTGTTATGGAGTGTAAGAGATATTTGGACATGCTGGTTGCTCGAAAAAGTCAAGAATGAACTATAATATCATGGCTTCCTCATATTATGTTTTATCTCGTGTTTGATTATAATTGGTGACTTGACAACCTTGCTTCATTAGTGGATATGGAAGATTATCTGACCAATAACGAAACAGCATAAAAACTGACGTCACCATTTACTCGACGTATCGCCAGATGGCAGCCATGACGATACGTTTGAAGTGAGCTCTGAAATTCAATAATTTTGTTGTTTTTATAGAATACCAAATATCAATAGTGTAAAATGTGGGGTGGTTAAAAGAGTTCTTAATAACTACGTTACTAATTCAGCCACCCCATTAAACTCTTCTTAGAGAATCAGACTGCTTATCCGAATAATCCTATTAAATCATCGATTTGGCAGCGGTTACACCAAGGTCCTCAAAATGTGATATCTTTTTCACATTTTTATCAGAGGAAAAAAGCAAAATACATTTTTCTTGGATAAGTTATTCTGAGGGCGAGTTGGCTGAAAAATAACTTTTTTTTTTTTCAGAGGAACTCGATACTGATAGAAAATCTTCTATTCGAGTGAGAAATCCTCCCGGTGGTAAATCCTCTGGCTTCTGGTGAACACACCAATTAGCTGGACGTATACCCAACAGCAGTACCAAAGCTTGTTTTACTTCGATTTAACAATTATTTCACTTAATCTGTACCTGTTTTTATTTATTTTATCGTGTACTGACATCACAAATGATTGTAACAAATGTCCCAGTTCGAATGGGTCCAGAACATCAGTACTTGCACACTGATATTTTACTTTAAGATACCGCGAGATTTTTGTGTGTTCACCGACAATTTGATGAGTCCAGAACTTTTGCTATCCTTTAAACATGGTGATTCTGCGCCCCTATATTTTGGAATGATTCATAAAATGCAAATGAGTATTTTACAACATGAACATTTTCATTGTTAATTGTTTTTATTGCAGTGTTATACCACTTCATTGACAATTTTTACTAATTTAAAAAATTTAATAGAGAACATTTCGGTGGCTGCAATGTCTGTTAATCACTTGAGCAGAGAATGGTAAAAGAAAGGACTATTTCAAGAATCACTACGATGCTATGTTCATTTATCCCTGTATCTTCTAGGATTATCTTCAGTTTAATGAATGAATAATATATTCAGGGAAAAAATCTAAGGATAATGGAGGTTCATTTGAAATCCGTCAAGAATCATCGTTGTATCTTGGCCTAAGTGTGTAGAGGGTACAATATCATGAAATTTTTGAATACAAATGACAGCAGTAATAGTAACATCGGGCCTTAGGATACATATGTATTTCAAGGATTGAATCTCACAATTGCAGGACTTGATGAAAAACAATGGAAAAGCCTCAGAAAGGTGGAAATGATATATTTGACTTTGAAAGTTAAAAAATAAAGATGTAGCTTGTTACATCATTCCATTCAAAATAATTACCCAAAATCTTACATAGGATTGCCTTAAATTTCGTCGAATTCCTTCTTTTGGTCTCAAACAACACTATCAATTTTTTTTTTCATCGACGTGTTGTTTTTACCTTTTTCTCATTCATTCACCTAAAACAAAATGCAATAATATAACAAGCCACGTGACATATGCCACTTCAATAATACTTTATTGCCCTTCATTTATGAAAGGTAATGATGTGACAAGCCACAGTTGGGAAAAAAATATATACTGTTGTATTTTCATCACTTGAGTCACTTCTAGATTGTACAAAGTTGAGGTCACGGTCAGTATCATTGTATATCGACTGAACTTCACTATTTTTCTTGCTTGAATCGTCAGAACTCACAGCATTATCGGAACAGCTTCCGCTTGCGTCGGCCATTGTGTGTGGCTTATCGTTTTGTCGGGTAGTAACTAGAGAAAAACTAGACAAATGCAATAGTGTGACCATGTATCAAAGAATGCCCGTAATTTTGTAGTGGCTTGTAGTTATAATATTGCTCCAACTCATTTTGAACTCTTATGTGGCTTGTCATTGTTTCATATTAAGCCCTTCAATTCCTGGCAAATGATTCGAATATAGGGTTATACTGGTTAACAACTATAGTTAATATTATTATGCTTTGATGAATAAATATCATAATATGACAGCTCTTTTTGTCTAACACAAACTGTTGCAAAATGTTTGTAATATTCCCAGTTTTTATAGGAACGAAAATGTTCCTATTATTAACTTTAACATAGAATGGAAACCTGGTTTTCCTGCAGAAACTGATTTCACTCTTGAGCAGAGTTTCTGGACTCGTCTATTCATTCAAGTGTCAAATTTTCATAATGAAGTATCATGTCTCAGTAGCAACTTCGATGACAGCTAGTAAAAATAATTGTTAGTGATCCGGTTAATGTTGAAAGGGATGTTCAAATTCTGTTGGTGAGATGGACTTTATCAAAGATGTCTTCCACACCAGCCATGACTGAAATGCCTATTGAACCTCATTTCTGCTCAATTTTGCAAATCTTTCACGCGTCTCGTTGCTCTATAATGTAATTTGGGGAGTGCATTTTGGTAATTACAACCATTTTTGGTGGCGTTTCAAACTAAATTAATATATAGTTTCCAACGTATTTTTTTCAACTTTTCTCACAGTAATTACTAGTTCCAACCCAATGCTTTCATTTCACTTCAACACTTTGATAATATTATAATACAGAACAGAATAATGATTATAAGTTACCTAATTGCAAAGGGTAGTGATTGGTATATCTGTAGATATCAATTTGGACAGCTAGCTAGTCAGTATTCCAAATCTTCACTGGAGATTTTTGCATTTGCACACCGAAAAATATGAATCTTTTTTGGACATGTTATTTCACTATCGGTAAAACTCCTACATATTATGTTGAATCAAAAACATATTTTATGGATACATACTAAGTAGGTAATTAAATAATACAACAGCTTATCACTGTAAATTGAATATTTTATAAGAATGTCCTATTTAATAACTTGGTTGTAGACAGGTTGTAGACATGTTTTTTTCTAAGATGGTAGGCACAAAAACCGAATAATATCTATTGTTAATTTTCATTACACACTGAAAGAATTTTCCAGAATCATAATATATTGTTGTATTTGATTTCCTCATCATGTTTTCAGTTCTATGTAGTTTTTTTTCTTGGTATTTTACCACTACCAAACTTTCAGTAGTGACCATCATCAATGTTTGTTAAGTTTTCAGTTAATTGAAGTTTGATATACCTATTGATAATTTTTGAATGAAAGTTGTATTTACAATGATAACTTATAGTTTGTTATTTGTTTTCAATTGACAATGTGTTCCACTAAACGGCTTTAGAATTTCACTATTAGGTATGTTTCAAAGATGTTGAATGTCAAAACATGAGTAAAGCTTTGGTCAGATCTGGCCTATGTTTATAGTTCATATTGATAAGGACCTTTTCTCCATATCAATCTTGAAAGTTAAAATTGAAAAAATTTAACAATATGAATCTGACATTGTACTCAGTTTGACTCACAATTGCTGAATGGTAGTTGAATCTCAAATGTTTCGAATAATATCTATAGTTGAACAATTCAAATCAGAATTTTCAGAATGACCAATACTTGGAGGAAAGATTCTTAACATTTTATGACTATTGTGTGTTCGTAATTTTCGTAATAGGTGTTTTTATCAATATTTTTGTTTTCTATATTGGTATCCTGCAATAAAACTTGAAACTCGATCAATTTCTGTTTTATTACTTATACAGTCTGTCCAAGATAAGGTTGCACAGCATGGGGATCTCGGAAACGGTAGGAGATACGAAGTCGGTTAAATGGGGAAAAAGTTGCACATTCGGAGGCTCATACCAACAGCCTTCGAAAATTTTCAATTTTTTTTTTTAGTTTTTCAGTTATATCGAAAAAAGTGAATTTTTGGAATTTATTTTATTTTTTTTCTCCGTTATTATTAGAGATACAGGAAAACTGAAAATACTTTTTTATAGCAACTTTTGATGACGTTTAACGTGGTGATTTTTCTACGCGACGTTTCGTATTCGTAGAACCATCATCAACTTTTGTTTTTTAAATACGGCCCTGATAATTCTTTCACAGATTCTGAAAGCTTTTTTTATTCTGAATTCAACCATGTATTATACAAGGTGGTTTGAATGTGTTTCGAACTATTTTTAGCCATCATCAATGTTTTTTTCGAAATTCCAAAGGAAAAATGCCATCAGTTCCACTTATTTTGAAGGAAAATTAGCCAACAAACTAATACCTCATCAACTAGTCCCGATTGATAGACTTATAGGAATAATTAGTTCGAAAAATTTAATTATGACAAGCTCCTTCGGATTAAAATATGAATAAAATTTGTAAATTTAAAAAATTATTTGTATATTGCTACTTCAAAGTTGGGAACCAACTCACTTTTCAGTATTGAATAACTAATCCATCAATGTTTAACACTGAATAATCAGAAATAAGTCTTTTATAGCATTGTATGAAATTTGAAAATTTTTCATCGTTGATCACTTTTAAGTATAAACAATAATTTTCCCGTAACGGTGCCAATGGTAGAGAAAATGAAAATTTTTGTACATCAACAAATGCACCTTGATACATAAAAGACGTGTACCAAATTGCAAAAAGATGTATACAATATTATACATATATATTACATTGTCAGAAACCTGAATATTTTTCAAAACTTCATCACCCTGTATCTCAAAAGTTAAGACTTTCAGGACATACGTTCATATGAATTTTTCTTCTTGAAATGCGTCAGAGAATCACTACCTCAAATATTAGCATGTCTTTAAAGAACACCCCGTATCTTGATACGCCAATGCTGATCCTTTGCGTAGTAGGTCAAATGCACGGTAGGCACAAAGTTGGGTACACAAAACGATTGAATTGACACACGACGTATGCGCATGCGCCTATCTTCATCATCATCCGCCATTCCTTTTCTTTCCCTTCAAAGTTCAAATCAAATCTCAACGTCTTCGTTTTTTAACGGAAATAGATAGTTCTCGGTTACGGGTATGATTTCGTGTTTTTTACTTTGATTGCTACTAAAACTATTGACTTGAGTCCTTGAGTGAATAAGTGCTGTGATGGACAATTTGCTGATTTAGTCTTCGCAAGCACAAGATGCAAGGTAAGTCTTCAGCTTTAGATCTCGTCTCTTTCCTTTCGAAAATGATATCTGTATGAGTATATATGTACTTGGATCACAGCTTCTATAAGATAGAGAGTACCATAGTAGAATTATCTGTGATGATATTGGTCGTAATTATGATTGATTTTAGTTATTAATGATTCCGAATTCACCAGTCACCTTCTCTAAGAATGAGTTTATTAATTAGTTTTTCACTAGATCTTTCATGAATTTACCAAAATCTCGGCTCCAACTCCATCACATGGCGAATTCATACATCTTAGGACTAAGTTGGGTTAGTTGAGTCATGTATGCATTCACCATCAGTTTTCTTTAACTCATTTCATCTCACATTTCATTTAGTACCGAATCGCGATAGGCTGGTGTCATAATAGTTTTTCCTTCCTGAAGTTATTAATATTGGGATCTGAGCCAATCACAAGGCAAAGACAACATGTGCTTATC